CGACATTTTTAGAAAATAGAAGTCTTTATATCGACTTTTGTATCGAATGGGAAGGAGAAATGTCGACAAAGAATAAAGATGGGCCCTCTCGTTCCAAAGTAACAGAAATAGAGATGAAAATAAAATTCACTCTTTAGAAACTTGAGTAAAAGATAAAAATGATGATTATTAAGAAAATAGGAAAGGTAGATACTAAAATATATATATATATATATATATATATATATATATATATATATATATATATATATATATATATATATATATATATATATATATATATATATATATAAAGAAGATAGATTTGGACGCCAACTGGTTTTTATACCAAATACCAGTAAAAATGAAAAGAGAATAATGAATCAATTAAGTAACGACATAATTCTGATACAATCTATATCCGAGAAAATATATAGAAAAATAAGAGATACAATGGAGGATATAGAAGAATATGAATTATGACAGAAGATATGGAAATTGGAGAATATAATTAACGAAATATATTAACTTAAGAAAGAAAGCAGGCAATGTAGCAGTTATAACGCTACACTGCTAAGAAATAAGATTTGCTCTTTGAAGAGCCGTTCTATCTCAGCAAAAAAAATGCTGGTTGATGTTTACATATACATACATTACATATACATTTACATACAATATGATACTCTTCTGCTATCGATTTTTGAGAACTGATTGATTTCAAAGTTATATCTTGTGTTTTAAAACGTGAATCCACTAACCTTTGACATTTCTTTGGAGATATTGTCTCATCGGAACTAGCTGAATCTAAATCACTTGATTGTTATTCAGATATGTCTGGTGAAAAACCAGACTCTTCAGAAAGTATTTCATTCCACAGTTTGTGTAGTCCTTTCTGTTCTTTCTCATATGACATTATTTTCGTTCACCACATAAATACTCAATTGCAATCACAAAAACTAATACATACAATAAAGGAAATAAAAAGAGAACTGAACGTAGAATGAAACGTGTTGCCGATCAGATGATATCAGGCGTGCATGTTATTAAACGGACTTAGTCATTATGGCCGTCAATTATATTATATTTAAAATAATTCTTGCAAAAAAAAATGTTGCCAGTATAGATACGTAACATTTTTTTTATATAATTAAAATATTAATGTTTTTTATTCCCTTCACCTTCGTTGCTGATACGCCCATAGTCGTATTCGCAAATAGGTTGTAAAATTTTATTGAACCTATCGACTACCTCAAAATAGGAAGAACCGACTTATTAAAGACTACAGTTTAGACCATCTTCGGTTAATTCGTTCCGGCTTAAAGGTCGGGTTCCTTTATGATAAATTTGATAATAATCGTCGGGAACACGTTGTAATGTTTTTCTACAATAACCTAATCACAGGGAATTTATATTTCATCACGTTTCTAACTAGAAGGGTACCGTTATGTTCGATGTTCGTTAGAAGTTTTTACCTTCTTAGAAATAGATACAGGCTGGCCTATGATTTTTAAGTGGAAGATATCCCTTCTTTTTTTTGGAGAAAGTTTGTGAACAATTTGAGAGGAACCAAGCACTTCTGAGCGGGCACTCGTTGAGTCAAAACTTACTTCTAGTGGGGCGGTCTCTGAGGAAAGACTCGCTATATCTTACCCTCTCTGCTATGTTACTTTCTCTGTGCATTTTCTTTCTTAGTGTGATACACTTGTATGTTTAAGTTTTTGATCTAATATCATGTTAGAATAAATATTGGTATAGAGTACCTTTAATTTTAATTAACTTCAGTGCTTGATATAAGTAAAGTATTATAGTAAAGTAAATTATCTTCAGTGAATTAGTGCAGCAGTCATCAGGAATTACTGTAAGTTATCATAATCATATTATCTCCACTTATCTGGGCGAATAACATGGTATCGTATCATATCTTCAATCATCTGGGCGAATCTAAGTTCATCCATGCCTTCACTTATAGTTGAGATTTTTGCATTCAATTTAAAGAACATTCAATACTTTGTTACGAATTTTCCATCAGCTACTAAGAAATTCTAACAAATAATAAGTATGAAAATTTAATTCTCAATCAATCAGTAAATAACAGTGCGAGATAGTTAGTAAACTACGACCAAGTACGAATTGGTTACATTTTTATTTCTGTAACCTTTTTGTATTCTTGTAAATTAAGATTTGATTAATTTTTGTTATTTGCTATAATTGTTATACATTTCTAACCCAGTATCTCGAGATATGCGCATCAAACAGCACAGAGAGACTTTCTTTAATCAACTTTAGTAGAATATTTTTATATAGCATTAGGCTCTCTTCGCTGATAATTGAACCTGTGCACCATTATATTGTTGTATTTGTAAAGGTACTTGTGAATTATATTATTTTTCATTTTTATACGTATACCACCATTGAGTAATTAATGGTGCATTTTTATTTATTTTTGTGTACATTCAGCCGCCTATATCATCGTGTTGTTAAATATATTGTTTTTGTTTTATGTACGAATTTTATTTGTCGACTTCTAAGTTTCCTAATATATCAATAACTCTGAATATTTGTTTATTATAATAAATTATTATTATACCTTCGACCAGAAGAAAAATCAGGCTGATTAAGTTTCGTAGGTAAGTAGGTGTAATACCTAATATATTTATTATTTGTTTATATAGTGTGTTGACCCAATTTATTTAATAATTAACTATTGATATCTTTCCTTGGATTTGGTCTCAGAACCAAAATATCTTTCCTTATCTTTTTTCCTTTCTAAGGTTTCTTAATTTTCTCCTCAAACCCCAAAAAATTGAATAGCGCCCTGTTTGTGTCTTATCGTATCTTTGGTAATTTTACACATCTATCTTTTGTTTATTGCTGTATCTTTTCTAATATCTCTTATCCTATCTTTATTTATTTCATACGTTATTTCATACGTTGGACTCATTCCCGGTTCCAAAAGCTAGTTTCGAACCCACAACTCGCTCTCCACCACTCATCTGGCTGCCGTTCGCAGTGTCTTCATTGGTGACCTTTCTAGCACCATTCAAAAAAGGTTTCCGAGGTTACAGACAGTCAAACAACATTCTCATGGTGGCAATCTATGTGTTAACTCAAATAAAGATATTAAAAAAATCAATAATTGTTTACGACTTTATAGTGAATTAATTACCATTTAACTGGAAATAAGCCACAATTAAAGGTTAAAATACGTTTATTGACGTTTCAATTTCCACTTCGGAAATCGTTCTCAAAATACAAACAGTAAATTAAACAAATTTTGTTTTTTGTTACATAGTGAAAAATTCTTCTAATAATTTAATTTTATCTGGCTCATTTATATTGACAATTCAGACAAACATTATGTATTTTAAAGTAAACGACTTTAAAATGATATTGCCAATATAGTTGAGTTGCGCTCCTGGGACGACTTTACTTATAAGATAGTTCATTCGATTACATGAAATCAACTTTAACTTGAGAATATCCGTCAGAAAAAATCATAGCAAGTAGTTCGTCTTTAAAAAGACAAACACATGCCATGATGACAGCAAAATTCTCCTGTTAGTGATTCCATAGTAAATTATGAAGTTAGTATTATGAGGTTTTTTTCCTGGGTTTTCCCTAATAATTTACTATGGAATCACTAACAGGAGAATTTTGTTGTCATCATGGCATGTGTTTGTCTTTTTAAAAACGAATTACATGCTATGATTTATTCTGACTTATATTCTCAAGTTGAAGTTGATTTTATGTAATCGACTGAACTATCTTATAAGTAAAGTCGTCCCAGGAGCGCAACTCAACTATATTGGCAATATCATTTTAAAGTCTTCTACTTTAAAATGCATAATGTATGTCTGAATTGTCAATATAAATGAGTCAGATAAAATTAATTTAATAGAAGAATTTTGCACTAAGTAACAAAAAACAAAATTTGTTTAATTTACTCTTTGTACTTTAAGAACGATTTCCGAAGTGGAAATTGAAACGTTAATAAACGTATTTTAACCTTTAATTGTGGCTTATTCTCAATTAAATAGTAATTAATTTAAAATGCCACAAGAAAATAGCTTCAGAATAATATTTATAGTGAGTGTTTACCAAAAAGCAAGGTTTACCAACCAATATTTTAGAAAAAAACATAGTTTATATCCAGCACACAAAAATAAACTAGGATTGTCCACTTCTCAAATCTGTACTTCTATAATTACAATAGAATTGTTGGACACACATCGGAAAACACTTTTGCCTTGCACTTCAATAGAACCGTATTTCTCTATCAATTAATCTTTGGTGAGTTTACGAGAAAAAAATATTTTTTGGATTAATTAAAGTGATTAAATAATATTAAAGCGGGATCAAGTAATCTTGAAGATGGGCGTTATTTATAGCACTAATAATAATTGTTTAACTAGTAGAAAATTTCTGCTGTGGGTTTGACAAGCAATAAAATTTGCTCTTTCAAGATACTTTCTGTTTCAGCAAAAAATAATATTGGTTGTTGTTTATTAATAATAAAATAACGAGCAACGAACCATTAAAAAATATTAAAACCAGTGTAGAATGCAACTTTTAGTTTACCAGCTAAGAAATATTTAAACTTAGTCTTAAATAATGTTGGCACACTTTAACTGTAATATATAACATTCCATATTAGCAATTAAACACAAAAATATCCAAAGCGGAGACAAACGTACTGTGTCATTTAATTTTTGAACAATAAATTAGTACAAAATGATATAGGTACCACAGGTAGAATCATTGGGTGCTAATATAGCTATATTATAGTTGGATCGGTGGAGCGACAAAAAGGGGATAATTTTGAGAAAAAATAAATTATTGGACTACTACTACTACTACAACTAAACCAAGATCTGTTGGAAGACGTTTAGACAAGGAATGTCTGTGAATATTTGTCTAACTCAAGAATAAAAATTGGAGAAAAATGTAATTATGGAAGCCGATTCCATAAAGGGATAAATATATACAACAATTTATTTAGTATATAAATTAAAATGTCTTACTATGCATTTAGCTACCCATGCTCTTTTGGAAGCAACCCAATTATAGCAACTATGGTGGTACACCTTGAATTTAAAATTAACCTTCTCTTTATCATCATGCGATGCTACTGCTAAATAACTCCAATGGTCGTATGCTATGTTTTCATTGATAACTAAGGCACCATCACCTGGGCTCACTAATTTGGCATTGCTTTTAAATTCAGTAAAAGTGGGTTTGTAAAATTGCGTAATATAAACCTAAAAAACATAGATTTACAATAAAGAAATTACAAGGAGTATATTAAACTAAACTGAGCAAAATTTAAAAATTTAAAAATTATTACAAAAAAAGCATTAAAATATAAGCCTGTATCTATCTATCGTCCGTTGGCAAATTCAAATGAATACCACCTTTAGTTCAGACAAATTATATTTTACAAATAGATATTTTTTTCCTATCAAAAATGAAATATTTTAACCAAATAATGTTTTAAATATGCAGAATAATTTTAAATTCGGTTCCGTTAATGAACTTGCTTTTTTTGTCATTTAAAGTAGAAAAAAACGGGTGTGGCAGTCCAGTGCAACTGCCGGTAGAAGTTATACTTCATACACGCGTTCCCTGTTACACATTTATATCGAAGTCAATCTATACAATCATTACATATGTAAAGCTGTAGGTAAGAGAGAGCAAAAAGAGAAACAGAATTAGGTATATACTTATATTGTGCATCATTTGCTGTATATAAACAACATTTGACCTGTAATAGGAGTATAGTAAATGAAGGATTGAATCAATATTTTGATGAAAATGTATATTTTTATTTTCATACATGTATGAAAGGAGTTGAATGCAAAAAAAAATTTTTACACAAACTCTGCAGTAAAATTTATTGTTTATTTTGTTATTAATATAAAAATACAATAAAATACACTGCAACATAATTCAATATAATAATACAATACAAAGTAAAATGCAATATTCATAAGTATTTAAAAATGACAATATACATAACTTACTTATGCATACGTGTTTAATTTACCATGATAATAACATTAATAAAATAAAAATATTGTTTGGTGATACAACTGTCAATTTGTCTGACATCGACAGATACAAAATTTAATTGTTATTTCTGGTGTATATAAGTACACATTTGAACTTTCTTGAGATATTTACAAGTTGTAATTTATAATTTAACTTGCCTAACGAGCTACAAGACAAATCTCGACAGAATGGAAAAATAATAATAATATTAATAAATATTAAATATATTTACTTTTTAGGAACATTGTTTATCTCGAGAGAAAAAGTGAGAGAAAATATATCTTACATATGTAATGATTTTGCCGATTCACTCCCGTACAAATTTCTAACGTCGAACGCACGTATAAAGTATAACTTCAAAAGTTTTAATATTTTTGGTCTAATAATTTTACCTGTATTAATGAAAGTGTTGTTTTTAAGTTATAAAATGAATAATTTACAATAAGTAATGCGATTGTTAAAATACCGGCAAGAAGTGCTTATCTTTAAAAGGAACTGAACTTATAAATTTTTCGTTTAGTTAGCATCTTTGCAATGAGCTTGTTTATAGATGTATATTACATTTCTTCAATTTTGAGTTGTGTTGGAATTTTGTTGTTTTGAGGTTATTATAATTGTAGTATTTTTTGTTGTTGTTTGTTTTTTGAAACTGTCTTATGTTTATCTGTGTATAAAGACAATGTTTAGACCATGGGAAAAACGATCTATATTTTTGCGCCCATAAAGAAAGATATGAGAAAGAGAACCCAAGTAGTGGTAGAGAAAGTTTAATAGCTAATATTTATTTAAAAGATATAAAAAATCACGACACCGAGACTGAAACTGTAGAAAAGAGTTTACTACTTCCAAATAAAAGCATTGTTTTGAATGAACACTTCAAGAAAATTTTTATGAACGTTTACAAAAATCTGCAAAATGATCCTGAAACTAGTTGTAAAGGCAGTATAATGAGAAAAGCGGCTTTTCTTACAGGAATTCCGTATTCTACCATTCGCGACATTCTGAAAAATAATATTAATGTTTTGCGGAAAAATATATCAGCGAGTCATTTGAAAAGTGGTTCTTTTTGGTATTAGAGACACTAAACAAAAATTTACAAATTTTTTAGATATTATCACAATAACAAAGTAAACTACCAAGTAAGTTTTTAACATTCCATGTCTTAACTGCCAATGCAATACAATAGTTTTAAAATGTAAATAATAACCCTATCTTGTGTAAAAATCCATCAATTATTTTATCAAATGCTTGTCAACTGCTCTTCGTCATATACTCTCCTGTACTAATTCCATACCCAAGTTTTTTTGGAATAATTTTGGAATAAGTCTTTGTAAATTACAAATGCATTAATTACTGCGAGATTAAGGTGATTATAAATTACTACCATTGGCCAACGTTTCGTATTTCTGGAAACATTATATGATGTGATCATTCTGTCTACAACATCTACTCCACTCTTTGTGGAATTATAAACAGTAATTATTTATAGTTTTTTCTATCATCATTATCCTCGTCATTCCGATCATCTCTGTTCATAGTGGAAACAGCAATCACATTTGTTCCTTTCTTTCCTTCCCTTTCCTTTCCTTTCCTTTCCTTTCAAAAACTGAAGAATATACCTGCCTATTTTTAATTTGCGATACTTCTGCAGGTAATTCTCGTCTGTTGGCTCTAATTGTACCAATTAAGATGAGTCGGTGTTCTCTTAGTAGTTTCCTGGCAATTGCATATCCTGTGATCCAACGGTCTATGGTTATGTTTCTTCCTGAACCCGATAAATGTAAGCATATTCTTTCAGTTACTGCAGCAGTAGAATTGTCCACTTTATATGAGCCATCGGATTGAATACCAGCGTAGATTTCAATGTGCGAGGTAACGTTTAGTCCAAAGTCACAGACTCTCCCAATGAGTAATTCTTTTTACAATATTCATTAAACTTCTTTTCTTTGGTCTCGAGTCGTAGTATCATCAAAACGCAGAAAATATCTCATATCCCATACCATTTGACGACCAGTACTCTTCCAGATTTGTTCTTGATACTTGATGAAGTCCAACCAAATACAATAAACCAATCAGTGATCGAATTTCTACTCGGTCAGTAGGTCTACATTCAGCCCTTTTTTGATATCTAACGGAAATTATTTTTATGTACAAATTTGTGTTTTTAACTATAATATCAATGCCGTTACCAAACATGTGCGTCCAGCATTTAATGGGAGATAATACGTGTAGCGCTTCACCAACAACCTCAGGAAAATGGGTCACTATGTTTTCGTTGCGTGTTGTAATATTTATAGTTGGGACAAATTTTCTCCATTTAGTTCCGTCTTCACCAAAAAAATATAAGCCTCTGTCATAACCCATTTGTTCCTCATTTTCTTCATTCTCGACTTTATTCTCATTTAGAATTTGCCCATCTTCATTTTCCTGCTTGGTGTCTGTATCATGATCACTGATTCCTAGAAAATCTGGATCCGCGATCGAATCGTCGTCATGCATTTCACTGTCTGTGGCAGTTTCCTCATACAGATTCATAAGCCCCTTTATTTCTACTTCATAAGGATCCGTTTTACAATGCTAAAATACCAAAATAAAATAAAAAAATAAAATGCTAAAATAAAAAAAAAATTGATTTTTGTCAAATAAATCAGATTAGTCACCTACTTCCTACCTTTATAATGATTGTTCAACCGAATCTCGATATGAAATTAGTCTTATATTGATATTTTACAAAAATCTGTCAACACTTTTCATATACTTTACTACTATTTTCTTTGTGGGATTTCGAGATTTCAATCGTAAACCACTTCAAACAAGTTTTAATCCATAACTGACGCAAGACCACAAAAAAAATTTATTGGTGAACTGACGTATTTTCTCGGAACAACCGAATAATCCAGTTCACAAAAATGCACAGGGTTGCCAGGTGAAACAAGATTGCAAGAAAAATACAACTAAGAAGAAGTGCAAATATTACACATTTGATCGGGTGGGGTCTATCAGGACAAAAGGCCATGCAGCAGCTATTTAGAAATTTCAAAAACAGTTTGGTATAAAAAAAAAACGATTGGTATTTAGTTTCTAGGAAGGTAGTGAAAAGGTAGAATTATAAAAAAAAAATAAAATGAGAGAATTATCCAAAATTTTATTTTGTCGTAGACTCATATACCACACCCGATGGACGGAGGGTTAATATAGTTTATGAGGTAGATACGTACGTTTACACATTGGTAAAATCAAAATTTATAACAGCTCCTCATAACATTCATAATATGTTTTGGTTTGTCGCTTTGTTTATTTCTTGTGCATCTTTATTGCGTAATTACTGCATTTTTTTAACTTTTAAGATTTCGTAGAAAATTGATTTAGTAGTAGCGACAGTATAGACTCTTGCCTGACTCATTTAAAAATTTTAATCAGATGTAATATTTACTACTTTTATGTGAGATGACTAGCTTGATTACAAGTTCTTAATATGCAGTGTGGAAACCACTTATGGAATAAAATTGTCTGTGTCCTTATTTTAGAAAATAATAAAAAACGTTGAGATGCGTTAACTTTTAAATTTAAATGTGCGCTTTTTAAACATAAATTTGAATATACAGGGTGATCCACACAAGTCTGACATAGTCCATAATCTGTATTTTAAATTAAACACCCTGTATATTTTTATGTTTTAAAAGCTCCTTAACAGCCAGATCTCAACGAACTATATCATGTAGGGTCTATTATGAATAATACAAGGTGAAATTTTGAAATTAAGTATAATTTTCTTCAAGACAATTAATTCATAAAATACCTGAAGTAATTGATTGGATTACATTAAAATAAATGCTCAAAATGTTCTTCACCTTGTTGTTGGAAATAACACAATCTCCTATAAAACTAGTCCCGAACTTTGTTTAAAGTTTGAGGTGAAATATTCCGTATTTCTGTAGTTATCTTCATCTAATCCATTTATTAAAGAATATTTCATTCAAGTAATTTCTCACCATTAAAGCATAATTGGGTGTTACACCGTCCTACTGGAACCAGACAGTTTCATGCGGTAGGGTTGGATCTATTGGATCGGGTTATAAGTTAGCCAACTGAGAAAGAATATCGTCTCTTAGCCTGCTTAAATATTTTCCCGCTGTCAAATTACCCTCTAAAAATAAAGGACCAATCATATGATCTAGTGCTTGACCAAACATTCAACTTTTGAGGATAC